AAGAAAAAGAGGTGATATGATCACTACGTACAAAATAGTAACAGGAATTGATAAAATCGACAGGGAAGACTTCCTGAGACCTGGAACTTCAAGAACAAGAGGCCATAGATTTAAACTAGCTAAACACAGATGCCGAAGAAATATAAGAAAATTCACCTTCGCAAATAGAGTGGTAGACGGTTGGAACAAGTTAAGTGAGAAGGTGGTGGAGGCCAAGACCGTCAGTAGTTTCAAAGCGTTATATGACAAAGAGTGCTGGGAAGACGGGACACCACGAGCGTAGCTCTCATCCTGTAACTACACTTAGGTAATTACACTTAGGTAATTACACACATGAGTATGCATATGCACATACACACATGTGCACACACACACAGTGTACACATGTACATGATTACACACACACATACACGTGAAAAGAAAATTACAAGCCGCCGACCAGTGCGCAGAGAGCACCACGCCAGCCAGGCGAAGAAGGCACAAAACTGCATCAAAAGGCCCACCTCGACAACAAAACCCAAAGCCCCGGCACGACCACAACATATGCCAAGACCCAAAAAGATCAGCCTGCAAACCAGGAAGACCCCGGAACCCCAGAAGGCAGAACCGGGTCACACACGAGAAAACAAAGCCCCTTGAACCCACAAAAGGGGCCCAAGAGGAAGAAACCTCCGGAACGAAACCAAAGAACCCATAGGAACCCGGAATTGAACCCGGTGGGGGGGCCCAAACCACCACATTTGCCGGCGCAGATAAACCACAGAAAGGCAAAGCACAGCCCCCAGACAGAATCCCCAGGGAAACGGTCAAAACAGACCAAAAACCGAGGGACAAGGTGTGGGAGCAAGCATAAACAGACAGGGACACTGAGCCCAAACCCTAGGGCCCAGACCCAAAACAGATAAAACTGAAATCCTGGTGTAGAGTCAACACCCAAACATTCCCAGAAGAACAGAAGATGGGCAGAAAATACCAGAAAAGCAGAGAAACGACAATAGGAGAATAAAACCCCTGAAAAGGTGAAAAAACTCACCCAAGACGCTCACTCACACACCCAGATGCATGTAAACAAACCGCAACGCCGCCTTGGTGGCCACACCAAGAAACCGACAGAAGAAAATGGCCACTAGAACAGAGGGCTGTGACCGACACAAAAGATACGAAAACACGCCAGCAAAAATGGGAAGCAAGCAGACTGGATGGGCGCAAAACTCCGCCCAGAAGCAGAAAACCCCGGCAGGGGCAAACAGCCCCAGAACTGCTAGCAGGCATCCCCCACAGCCCCGGGACCCCCCACAACAGAGGCCCCGGAGCAGAGCCGTCCTCCAAGCCCTCTGCCGTTTAAGAAATGGAAGAGTCCATGGGAAAGGCAGCAAGAAAGGGCAACTGGTAAGACCCAGAAGCCTTGGCAGGAGAAACAGGCTCGAAAACCTCCGTCCCCAACCCAAACAGAACAGCCCCCGAAACCACCCGAGTCTCGGCCCCAACTAAACCCCGCCCCGACCCCGAAACCCACAGATGGTCCAGAGCTGAGAACAGGGAGGGGAAAGGGGCGAACAGCACCTAACCAAAACGGGGCGGCCCTAGGGTATCCGAGTGGGAAACCAACCTAGCGTGTTGCAGCAACCTAACCTAGCTTGCAACACGGATGCCGCCTGTACTCTGAACAGTAATAACATCAGGAGAGTACTGGAGAACAAGCAGAGAATATCTCTCGCAAGATTCCAGGTCTAGATATCAGGGACCCAACAGGCAACATGACGGAGGTAAAAGTGGCGACTGTCACCCGGAGAGAAGGGCACAGCAACCAACGAACCCGTACATGATCGGTTGGAACCTGGAAGACACATTCAATGATCCACCGAGCCCCGACGGGTTTCCAGGGCCCGTAGGGTAACAACTACGGGAAGCCCGGGCAAGATGTTGCTAACCTGGTTGATACCTGGTTGATACCTGGTTGATACCTGGTTGATGGGGTTCTGGGAGTTCATCTACTCCCCAAGCCCGGCCCGAGGCCAGGCTTGACTTGTGAGAGTTTGGTCCACTAGGCTGTTGCTTGGAGCGGCCCGCAGGCCCACATACCCACCACAGCCCGGTTGGTCCGGCACTCCTTGGAGGAATAAATCTAGTTTCCTCTTGAAAATATCCACGGTTGTTCCGGCAATATTTCTTATGCTTGCTGGGAGGACGTTGAACAACCACGGACCTCTGATGTTTATACAGTGTTCTCTGATTGAACCAGTTAAAACCAAAAACTAACAAGGGGATAGAGGACTACACTGAAAACACCAGCGATGTGTACAATCACAGGGGAATAGCAGAGGGCCACCAAACACTACCAGTGGAACTATAACCACACTAGGCAGACCCCCGCCAGGCAAATGAAAAACCCAACAAAAGTACACCGTCCCCAGAGGCAGCAGGAACCGGTCGCCGCTTAGGTGGTAGGTCGCACAACATCTTGACGCCCTAACCAGCACAATACCAGTCCCTTCCCAAGGCCAAACAAGAGCCCCAAGCCCCAGTTGGCCCTAAGGGCGAGGTAAATGCAGAGCAGCAAGAACCTCTACGGGAATGGTTCCCGAACGCCCCAGGGAAGATAACCCTGTCACGCAGGGGCAGTACTCACAGGACGCTTAGGGAAGGAAGCCTCTAAGCGCATGCAGCCTCGGTACTGATGAGGAACACCTGGCCACCGCACAACACAACACACGGCAGTGAACACCACGAAAGGCAAACACCGCCTAGGAAACTGAGGCCAGAGAAGCGTCTATCCCAGTTGACATTAGCTTACGAACTGATGCTAGGCAGCCTGGGTGGTGAGGTCCGGGGCTCCCCCCTCCCCCTCTCGGGGCGGGGAGGGCTGCGTGGACGATCGGCGCGGCAGTAAAGTGTGATGTTTGCTTGTTTCCTTGGGAATGTAGGGAGTTTCTACCTCTCTGTTCAGTTTTATGTTTTAGTTTTTTACCATGTGGGGTTTGTTTTCTTATGCCTACCTTTCTGGGTGCCTAACCCCAGTCAATTGCAGATAAGGAAAACACCAACCACAAGGGGGTTTTCCAGGGTCATTGCTCCCCTGGAACCTCTCTGAAGGGGCCAGGTTCTGGCGCTGGTTCCTTGTAGGTCTGAATTCGTTAGCTAATGTCCCAGTCTAATATAACATACATCACCCCGATAAGCTCTAGGGAGCCATAGGGGCTCCCCACAGAAAAAACATATTTACTACAAGTTTCAAGCAGCGAATGCATATACAGTGGAACCTCTATTAACGAGTTTAATCCGTTCTGGCACCGAGCTCATTACCTGGAAAACTCGTCTTAAGAAACAAATTTCCCCATTTAAAATAAAGGAAATAAATTTAATCCGTTCCACTCCCAAAAACATCCATACTTGTATGACTTTTTTTATGTAAATATAATACTGCACATGTAAATATAAATGTTTTGTTGTAGTGTTTTAATATTTACTTTACCTTATGAAGAGTCATTGCTAGCTGGAGGGAGACGATGGGGAGGTGGGAAGGAGGAGAGGGGTTATGGTGTGGAAGGAGAATCCACCTCTGAGTCAGGCGGACTCTCTCTTCTTGGGAATTTCACCCAAATTTCATTTCAAATGTCACACAAGGATGCGTTAGACCAGCACCAAATAAAACACTACGTCGATTACACTCGTTGTGTCAACAATATAATAGTCTTACCACGAAGATACAATACAATGCCGTTTTCTCAAATAGGCAATGTGGTTATTAAAGAAAACAGAAATTTCATGGCAAACATGTATACAATCCCCAAGTCGATCGGATAAGAATTGGATTTTATAGAAATATTTGCTCAAATGACGCTTGAGCGCGGTGTTTGGGTGCATTCAAGAGAAAAAAGTGTGCCACGTTCAAGCGACATATACCTGCGAAAGTGATAACACTTTCATAAAGTGTTATCACAAAGTGATAAATTAATTAAACATTTTCACACACCGGGTTGTCACTGCTTTATCAGAGCAGCTTTTCCAAGAATGTGTTCACCTTTTCAAACATTCCAAACACTTCCCTGATCTCAGTGGAAGAGGCAGCATCCTCCCTTACCTCCTCATTCCCTTACTAATGGTGTAAATTGTTGATGAGGACCTGCCATACTCCCTTGTGAGATCAGTCACACAGACACCACACTCATGCTTTGCTATAATTTCCTTCTTCAAATCCACAGTAATTGTGTCTTTCTTCCTCTTGACAACACTATCTTTAGCAAGCAGCTTCTTTGGAGACATCGTGTGTTACAAATTGTAGTCGCAAAACCACTAAAAACCCAAAGAAAAGCTCAAATAAATCCAGAGGGATGCTTGTCGAGTGCGATACAACAACAACACTGGCGTCAGAGGTGTCCGAGAATTTGCGAGAACCCGCGAGATGCTAGGAAGCACCATGTGGTTTTGCTCGTTAATAAAGGCGAGCTCGTCAATAGAGACAAATTTGCTGCGAGTGGCTTGCTTGTTACTGGAAAAACTCATTAATAGAGCCACTCGTTAATCGAGGTACCACTGTATAGTTAAACACGAAGGCCGCCTCTTGACGAAACTCTCCTGCTAAAATGTTTTGTTATTATAAAATCAATCCTACATGTTGTGTAGTAGAGAAAAATTGAGTTATATCCAGTTTACGTAAAGCTACGAGTGGTCGATAGCCCTCGTAGCGCGACGGAGCATACCTACGAAGATTTTCCTTCTTAAATGTTTACCTGAATACTGAAGTAGCCGCTACGAAAGTGCTAAGAGGGAAAAACATTCGTAAGAACCTTCGTGAATCTGGCTTGTGGTCCCTGGTAGGCAAAGAACTCCTATGACTGATGACTCCAAACTAATATAGCACTATATCACTTCGGATAGCTTCAGGAAGTCTCCGGGGCTCACCCTGAAACTAGTGTTTCATTACATTCAATGCTGTTTTTTTTTTAAAGGTATCAATTCTTTGTGGAAAAAACAAAAAACAGAAATTCCTTCCAATATACCTTTAAGATTGATCTTCAGCTTTGCTGTGGGATTTTCCGTGTGAATGGTATAAGCCAAGGCTGGAACATACTTTCCTGAAATAGTTAATATAAAATATTAGAATTTAAAACAAAAAAATATTACAACTACATCTATTACATACTAGATCAAATATTGTTTTAAATTTATTTTTCATTATTGATATTTGTAATTTTCTTAGTATTTTTCACAGAAACAGTTGCAAAATATTTGGAGGCTAAATTAAAGTCCGTCCCCAACCTGAACGGGGCAGCCCCCGAAACCGTTGAGTCTCGGCCCCAATTAAACCCTGCCCCGACCCCGAAACCCGCAGATGGTCAGGAGCCGCGAACAGGGAGAGAAAAGGGCGAACAATACCTAACCAAAACGGGGCGACCCCGGGGCATCCGAGTGGGAAACCAACCTAGCGTGTTGCAGCAACCTAAACCAAGCTTGCAACGCGGATGCCGCCTGTATTCTGAACAGTAATAACATCAGGAGAGTACTGGAGAACAAGCCAAGAACACAACTCGAAAGACTCCGGGTCAAGGTGTCAGTGACCCAACAGGCAGCATGACGGAGGTAAAAGTGGCGACCCCTGAGACAAGGGCACAGCAAATAACGAACTCGCACAAGACAACTTGGAACCCAGAAGACACATTCAATGGTTCACCAAGCCCCGACAGGGTTTTCCAGGGCCCGTAGGATAACAACTACGGGAAGCCCGGGCAAGGTGTTGCTAACCAGTTAAAACCCAAAACTAACAAGGGGTAGAGGACAACACTGAAAACCCCTGCGACATGTACAATCACGGGGGCCTAGCAGAGGGCCACCAAACACTACCAATGGAACTACTCTGAACTATGCCTAGAACTCTACCCACATCGACTGATGCCAAAGTTAGGGATATCCATATCAGCCTGAATAGCTCCAGGGAGCCATAGAGGCATCCCTCCAGAAAATGGAGGGAATAATTTTTTATGTACACTATAGAGTTGTCATATTACTGTATACTAATGAACAGTACTTGGGATAAGGCAGGGCTGTTCTAAATACATGCAGCTCGAGGTGAAAAACCAAATCCAAGCAAAATGTTAGACTTGAAAAACTAGCTCATGAAGCAAATACCAAATTTGAGAATAGCACATAAGCAAATAGCCCCCCACAAGACAAGTGTTCGAAGGTAGGTTTACACCTAGCTTGAAAAGTGGGACCAGCAACTTGGGGAGGTCTGAATGCAAAGACAGCAGCAACAGGACTGAGGCTCAAGTGGCATGGAAGCTGGGAGATCCTAGTGGTGTTGCCATCTGCTGGTGACCATCCACAACTTTGGGGGGGATACGAAAGGGGGGGGGGGGGGAATTGCCCTAGTTTTCTGAGTCATTTGGCTGCTTTTATGGAACATTCCCTTTGAACCTTGTAGTTGACTGTATTGCTTCACTGGCTTTCTGATAACAATTCCCTGCTTCCTATACCTGGTTACCTGGTTGATGGGGTTCTGAGAGTTCTTCTACTCCCCAAGCCCAGCCCGAGGCCAGGCTTGACTTGTGAGAGTTTGGTCCACCAGGCTGTTGCTTGGAGCGGCCCGCAGGCCCACATACCCACCACAGCCTGGTTGGTCTGGCACTCCTTGAAGGAAATAATCTAGTTTCCTCTTGAAGATGTCCACGGTTGTTCCTGTAATATTTCTGATGCTCGCTGGTAGGACGTTGAACAACCGTGGACCTCTAATGTTCATACAGTGTTCTCTGATTGTGCCCATGGCACCTCTGCTCTTCACTGGTTCTATTCTGCATTTTCTTCCATGTCGTTCACTCCAGTACGTTGTTATTTTACTGTGCAGATTTGGGACCTGTCCCTCCAGTATTTTCCATGTGCATATTATTTGGTATCTCTCTCGTCTCCTTTCTAGTGAGTACATTTAGAGAGCTTTGAGACGATCCTAATAATTTAGGTGCTTTATCTTGTCTATGCATGCCGTATATGTTCTCTGTATTCCCTCAATTTCAGCAATCTCTCCTGCTCTGAAGGGGGAAGTGAGTACTGAGCAGTACTCAAGACGGGACAACACAAGTGATTTGAAAAGTACAACCATTGTGATGGGATGCCTCTATGAAGGGGTCAGATTCTGGCTCTGATCCCCTAGTAGACCATACATAGCTCAGAATTGGTGTTACTCAGTAAGAGGCAGTGGAGGGAGCTACCTCAGTGAGCTTGCTTCAGGGACCCGCTGTTTGGCGGCTCTAGAAATGATTTACTTATTACTGAACTGTTCATATTCATTTTATCCAGTTGTATTTATGAAAAATAAGATAAAAGTACTAACACACATAAGTACACTGGACCTCAATCCTTTAATTCAGCTTGGGAGCACCTTACCTGCATAAGATTCTCCTGTGACGTAGAAGTCATTGCGCTGCAGCTCAGGAAACATCACAAAGAACTGCACAAGGGCATTATACAGGTCTCTGCCCACATCAGTCTGGTTCCTAGCATATCCAGCAGCATTTTTTGTAAAGCTGAATCCTGTTGATAAAAACCCACAGAACGTCATAAAAATTATGATTTAGTTTACAAGAACATAATTTAAAAACAAAAGAAAGTTGTAATAATACTGTACTGTCTGAAGATATCAAAGGTGGGCACAAAATCCTTTTGCAAGGAGAATATTCTAATACTGTACCTTACTTTTTCTTTCATTTGCAGGTAGTGCGTTAATTTGAGACAAGTGAATTAACCTTTAAACTGCGCATCCTTTGAGGTCAATTTGCAAAAAATATTCGAATTATGTAAAAATTACTTTAAAATGTTAAAACAAATCTCCAATTTATTGGTTTCAGAGTCGTGAAACTTTCATCAAAATATTTTCAGAAATTGATTTTAGATTAATTTTTTAAAAAGAAAGTTTTGTTGATAAGAAGAGCTCCTATTAACTGGAACCGAGGGATAATGCAGTAATAAAGAGATGCAAACACCTGTCCAACACACAAAGAAGAATAGTAGTAAGAAGTGCTCACAAAGTGGATATGCAGCTGGGATCCTGTATATCAGATACATTGCTTCTGGCAGTATGGGTTCGAGTCATTTCTGGGATGTGAGTTTTCAGTTGCATATATGCCTGGAGACCGTTCAGGCTTGTTCGCATATATATATGTGTATATGTACATAATATATATGTATGTATGTGTATATATGTATGTATGTATGTATGTGTATATATGTATGTATACTTTTTCTTTCGGAACGGGATCTGTTCCCTTCGCTATTGACGGGGCACTGGGGGGGAGCGGCTTGCTCTATTGACTCTTGCATGGTCCCGCAGTTGGTGGGCGATTTTGGTTGTCTTCCCGCCTCTGGTGGCGGCGGCGGACGGATTCTCCCCCTTTGAGGGGTTCAGGGCTGGCAGGGTGGGCTTCTTCCCCTGCACTTCGTCATGTCATCTCAGTGGGTGCGTTGGACGTGTTCGATCCGCCGTATCCTTCAGGGGTTCCCGTCTGCTCTATGCAGACACGGGCCTGGCGGATCTGCGATTCTTCTGGACTTCTTCAGTCTGCACCCTGGAATCTATGCCCTCATCAGAGGACTGTTGTCTCTGGTCCGGCTTCTGTTGGGGCCAGGTGCCTCGATGGTGGCCCTGTACTTCCAGGTCAATTCTTGGCACGTTCTTCTCCAGTTTTCCGGGATTGGTGGGGTGGTGGGGTTTCAGGCTTGCCGGTTTTGTTGCCTTCCCTAGTTTGTAATTGGCATTTGGTGTATTTACGCATCTTTACCGGATCTTGGTGCCCTGTCTGAGTCTGCTAGGGATTCGGTGTATTGCCTACCTCGACGACTGGCAGGTGTGGGCTCCCAGTCAGTCCACTTGTCTGCTCGGCAGGTGTGTGGTTCTTTCCAGATCACCGGGCTTGGTTTCCTGGTGATCTGGAGGCCGTGCCATCTGTTTCTGTCCCGGGTTCGGACTTGGCTGGGTCTTGTTTAGGGCTCTTGGGCCGCTCCTTGTCCTTCCCTCAAGAAGTGTTGCAGCGGCTGTGGTCCCACCTTTGGCTGTTCAGGAGCGGGTCCTGGGTTGCTCGGCGGTTGCTCGAGCAGTTGTGCGGGAGTCTGAACTTCGACATGCTGGTCTGCCCGCAGGGTCGGGTTTGGCTTCGGCGTCTGTTTGGTTCCTTCGGAGACTCCCCTTCCACCTCACTTGCAATCAGTGGGTTCGTTCCTCCAGGGATTTTGTGTTGGTGCTGCATCACCAGCTTCCTCTTTGGGGTTTTCGGGGTTCCATGCCTTGGCACCTCCCCAAGCCTTTGCTCGATGTGTTCACGGACGAGTCATCTCTCGTCCGTGAACTGGGGCTTTGTGACCAGTGCTCACCAGGTCGGCCGGGGATGGTGGGGTCTGTCTGTCCGTCAGGCTCACAGCACGGTTCGGGAGTTCGTGGCTGTCTGGTTTGAGCTTCGGACGGTTCAGGTCATCTCGTTTGCTGGATTCTTGGGGTTTGGCTAACAGTGAGGTTCATGTCCGGGGTGTGTCCTGCGTCCTGGAAGACAGCCTGTCTCAGTTCTTTCCTCTGTTAGCGGATTGGCCAGTTGTCACAGACTCGTTTCGTTAGCTCTGCCGGACGTATGGACTCCTGGCCATGGACGTCTTCAAGTTGGCATAGTCTAGGTGTCGCCCATTCTATGTCGTGCCCTTACCCGCCTACGAGGCGTTTGCAGTGGATGCCTTTCGGCAGGACTGGTCGAGGTGGGGGTACCTGTTCCTCTTTTCCCAGTCTAGATGTTGCTTCAGGATCTGGCTCGGTTGGAGCTTATTCCCAAGATAGTGGTCCTCATGGTCCTTTGGTGGCCGGCCCAGCTCTATTTTCAGACGATGCTTGATAGGTGTCCGATTCTGGGGTGTTTTCCCGCGGCTCCGCCTCTTTCGGCAGGTCAGACCGGTCCTGTACATGACTGGTTCGGCCTTCTCCTCGGCTCTTCGAGTCTAGTATTTTGACGCGGGTATCACCATCTCTGTGGTGATCAGGTGATTTTGTTGACGGTGTCCCACCTGCGAGCGTCGTCTCGGCGACAGTATGACGTACCTGGTGTTTCTATGCATCTTTTTCTTGCTCTTTGTAGGTCGTCTTCTCTTTCGCATTGGGTTGTCTTGTCCTTTCTTGAGTTTTCAGGACAACAGTTATTGATGTTTCTTACTGTCGCCTCGTTTTGTGCGGCTCTGGTGGAGCTGCTCCGGCTTGCGTTCGGGGTGGACGTCACATCTGCCCCGTTCCATACGCTTTCTCATGTTTTGTTTCACCTCCGGCCTGCTCATGCGTCGCCTGAGCCTTCCTGGTCCTTGATCAGGGTGCCTTCTTATCTTCTCCTCAGTTTGTGATAGCCCCCTCGGTTCAGGTTTCTGCTCTTTAGTACTGGTGGTAGGATTGTACATTTGCAGCCTTTCTCCATCCTTCTGGCGATGGTCGAGACGGCTGTTTAAAAAACCCAAGAAATGCTAGGCAGCCAGTGCGGTGAGGTCCGGGGCTCCCCCCTCCCCCTCTCAGGGTGGGAAGGGCTGCGTAGACGATCAGCGCGGCAGTAAAGTGTGATGGTTGCTTTCTGGGTGCCTAACCCCGGTTGATGGCAGATAAGGAAAACCCAAACCACAAGGGGTTTTCCAGGGGTCATTGCTCCCTGAAACCTCTCTGAAGGGGCCAGGTTCTGGCGCTGGTCCCTGGTAGGTCTGAACTCCTTAGCTAATGTCCCGGTCAAATATAACATACATTAGGCCGATAAGCTCCAGGGAGCCGTAGGGGCTCCCCACAGAAAACCAGCATTGAATGTAATGAAATGCTATTTTCTGGGTGAGACCCGGAGGCTTCCTGGAGCTTATCGGGCTAATGTATGTTATATAAGACCGGGACATTGGCTAAGGAGCTCAGACCTACCAGGGACCAGCGCCAGAACCTGGCCCTTTCAGAGAGGTTTCAGGGAGCAATGGCACTGGAAAACCCTCTTGTGGTTGGGGTTTTCCTTATCTGCCATCGACCGGGGTCAGGCACCCAGAAAGGTAGGCATGACGAAACAAACCCCACATGGTGAGAAACTAAAACAAAAAACCGAACAGAGAGGTAGAAACTCCCTACAATCCCAAGGAAACAAGCAAACATCACACTTTACTGCCGCGCCGATCGTCCACGTAGCCCTCCCCGCCCCGGGAGGGGGAGGGGGGAGCCCCGGACCTACTGCGCCAGCTGCCAAGCTTCAGTTCGGAAGCTAAGCTTCAGTTCGGAAGCTAAGCTTCAACCAATGCATAAAACTGCCGACCGGTGGGAGGGAGGGTTGCCAGGGAGCCTCCGGGGCTCATCCAGGAAATGGCGTTTCATTACATTCAACGCTGGTTTCTGTGGGAAGCCTCTATGGCTCCCTGGAGCTTCATACCCAAAGAGAAGGAAAAGAAAGGGCTAACCCGAGAGGCAGCCGTCACAAACTCCGCAACGTGAAGCCGAGACAACAGGCTGCAACCTGCGACCCAAGGCAACAAGAATGCACAGGAGCAGAAGCGCATAAAGAAAGGGCGGCCCAGAACCTGTGCGACCCTCAATTCCCTGCGCCCAAAATGAGCCCTAGATGTCACCAACACAGCAACAAAAGCTGCAAACGTCCGAACAGCACGGGCGCAAAGACAGACTGCAGGCTGGAAGACTGAAAAACTCTCCGGACGACCTGGGAGACCCAAGCCCTGAAATAGGGAACGAGGGGAACCAGATCAACCAAAGCGCGTCCCCAGACATGGTACGCAGGTAACGGCAAAAAGCACAACCAGACAACACAGGACGCACCCCCGGCCAAACCAATCAAGCATCAATAACCCAAGAACCCCTCTGGAAACCAGCCGTCTTGACCGTCGCCAGGACGGAGAAAGGCTGCACACGTACAAATCTACCACCAGTACCAAGGAGCAGAAACCTGAACCGAAGGGGCTACCACAAACTGAGAAGAAGAAGGCACCCTGATCAAGGACCAGGACAGCGCAGGCGACGCATGAGCAGGCCGGAGGTGAAACAAAACACGAGAAAGCGTACAAAACGGGGCAGATGTGACATACACCCCAAACACAAACCGGAGCGGCTCTGCCAGCACCGCATAAAACGAGGCAACAGTAAGAAAATATCAATTAACTGTAGTCCAGAAAAACCCAAGAAAGGACAAGACAACCCGATGCGAAAGAGAAGACAACGTACAAAGAGCAAGAAAAAGTGCATAGAAACACCAGGAACGTCATACTGTCGCCAAGACGAAGCTCGCAGGTGGGACACCGTCAACAAGGCCACCTGAACACCACAGAGATGGTGATACCCACGTCAAAATACCAGACGCGAAGAGCTAAGGAGAAGGCCGAACCAGTCACGTACAGGACCGATCCGACCTGCTGAAAGAAGCGGAGCTGCGGGAAAACGCCCCGGGTTCGGACACCTATCAAGCAGCGTTTGAAAAGAAGCTGGGCCAGCCACCAAGGAAACCATAAGGACTGCTCTCGTGGGAATAGGCTGCAACCGAGCC